GTTCATCAAATATTATCTTCTATATATCATATTTATCAGTCCGAGCAGCGTTTATTTATTTATAAACTACTATTGCTACGAGTCCCATATCGAACAGGACGCGGCACGACGACTGCCGCCCTTTAACTTTTGTCATTGTTTACAGAATAAAAATGCATAACTACTATTATTATTTGGAGCTTAGAAACTTATGATTTAAAATAAACAGAATATAGTTAAAATATGCAAAATGTGTCATTATCTGGCATTCATAGGATTATAGAAATATTACAGAGTTTGCTAAATATTGTTGCCTATATTATTCTCTCATGGAATTTTAAGCATTAAGCACATTTTTGAGCACCAAATTTTTTCACGCTCAAATTGGGATAGAATTGTTTACATTTTCTGTCATTTTTATTGAATTCAATCTTAATTTTTGGAAAAACAAACAATATGTGACATTACTTATAGTTTTTGATAACAAAATTTGAATATTTTGCAATATTTTATGTAAAAAAGAAGAGACTATAAATAAAAATATTTTTTGGATGGTGCCTGAAGTTGGCTTTGGCCAAGGATTAATGGCCACTATAATGCTTAGATTCAAAATAGCCAAGAATGTTCAGGAGCGCACTGATTACACTGATATATGTTTTATATAATCGGACAATATTTTCTCCTGATGATTACCGCCAGTGTTGCATTAATTAATCCTATGACTCGGATTGCTACAAAACTGTGGTGGTATAATTGATATTTACTCTTACCATACGTTGAGGTCAGCTGACACAAAATTTTTTTCTATGAATTCAAGTTTTTGTCGAGAATTTATGCTGTCACTAATGGTAATCACAAGTGCCTGTTGACCTCAACCTAAAATAATGTGGGATTATATATTTTCACAGACAAAAATTTAAAAAAGTGAGTGTTAAAACTATTTTTGAAATAATATATCAGTGTGCCAATTTTGTTGATACAAGGGTGTTCTGTTTCACGCAAACTCTTTGCATATGTTGTGTGGATATTCTGCTAATTCATGAACTTTGCACCAATTTGCTAAGATTTCATTAAGCTTCAATCAATTTTTTTGAGGGACTGTATAATAATCCTGAAATTAACACTGACTTTGCAAACTGTTGAAAATTAATCATTTCACAATTTGTAGTTTTCAGACTGTATATAAAACCCCAGAATCTCCAGGCAACCTTCAGGCGTGTACAATGATAACAAATCATTATGACAGTATGCAGCATCAAACTAAGTCGGCATTATTAAGCCACACACTGGAGAGATGCACATTATGCGTGTGATAAATTGTTATGCATACTAATCATATGTGCATAACTAATGTGTACATGTGTCTTTATTCATATCTTCTCATTCTCTGGAGGTAATAGAACTTGTTACAAAACAAAACATCCCCACCCGCCATATACAATATTGACACGCATGCAAAAATTGTATATATATATTTATATATATATTATTCTATGTTTTTATCTCTTACTATTGTGACTATTTTCTTGCATTCAGCTTGGCAAGAAGAGAAGTTCTTCTGCGCCATTCCGAGTGGCATCTCGGCAGCTTAGAGAAGAAAAAAAAATCAGCAGCTGATGAACTTATCCTTGCAAATGCACGTAATCAGAGTTTGATTGAGGTGAGTATTGTTTTTTATTTTGTCAGTCACAACTTTTGAGATTGAATATTAAGCATCCACTCGCAGCCCTATTGTGCAAAGTTCAATACAATAACCACAGTCCCTATAAAGGGACCCTCAAACTGTTGTCAAACAAAAGTGTTAATTTTTCACAGGAACACAAAAACATTCCAGTGCACTTTAGCACACATGATACTAGCATTTACTATGTTGACATGAAAGCAAAAAAAAAACTCAACGAGCAAAGGTCATAGTGTTGCATTGCATGAAATTCGGCAAACGCTAAAGTATTTTCGAGGTATACTAATTATGCGATATATATCACATTTGATGAAGGTCTATTTTGATGAAGTGTCTCAACGCCAAATTCCTCTCTGAATGTTCTGTATTTAGACATTGAGCTATAAAAAAAAGATTATAGTTCGAAATCAAATAATTTGATTTTGTCAGCAGGCATTTGGTCGGCTCATTTCATGAAATGCACATGGTCTCACAGTGAAGGCAAAATCAACTATTGCTATTATCAATTAATTAAATACCAACCCTTTCATGGCACATTCTGTATAATATTATTATAAAATTTGAGAATGGTTTCTAAATTTCTGTAGGATGTGAAGAGAGTAGAAACAGAGCTCAGAAGAAATGCAGTAAAAGGAAATTCCCCAAAACTACAAGCATTAAAGGTGAGGATGTTTTTTGATTTTGACTTTATGCAAATAATGAATTCATGACCTACAGATGATAGATGACTGCTAAAAAGAATAAAAAAAGTGGCATGTTTTACTGAGAAAACGTGAAGTGACCAATTACAATACAGACCCACCTCATTGTTCATTTATGTTATTCATATTCATGCTTAATAATTTCAACTACCGGTATATTTTTATACAGTTTTTCAGTTCAATAAGTGTAATTATATTGCTTTGTCATTTCATCTTAGTAAAAATCATGAAACGGAAACTAAATAAAAAAAATGTTGCATTTGCATTTAGCATAATTCGTGGATAAACTCCTTAAACAAGTGATTAGCCGTATTGTGCCAGGGAATAGTATTGCATCATAAATTCCATGATTTTACCTTTGCACATCTCCTGGATTTTCGGGCCATGCATATACCTGGTTTTAAGTGCATTTAGTTGCCATAGCAATATTGATTTGATCATGATTCTATTACTGCATATTGTGTTAAAGGCAATTAAGGCTCGTTAGTGAACGTAATTTGTCGAAAGATAATTGTTTCACATGGGGGAAATAATGGCTTTCCAATCACATTCTTTCTAGAGTTTTAAATACATAATGCATTGCCTGAACAAATGTCAAATATCAAAATGAATTATTCAATTAAAAAAATAAGGAGGCAGTTACATTTTCAATTCATTACAATTAATTTACAATAAGCCAACAAAAACAAAATATTATATATTATTATACATCTGTCACCGTAACGCCATAAGTTACAGCGTACCATAATTTTGCGCTATTTTATTGGGTATTTTCATCCTACCATATTAGGAAATGCAAATTCGAAATATGGTATGTTTTACGCACATAAGCGTCCTCTGATAATAAAAACAAACAAGGCTGCCACTAGGGTTTGACAGCACCCCCCCCAGGGGTACTCACATTGAAGTATATGTATATGTGCCACCAAAAGGGGTCCTAAATTCACCACTTCTGTCTGAAAAGGGGTATGTTATTTTACGTTGTCTGTCTGAAACGGGGTATCCTTTTTTCATTATTTCTGTCTGAAAAGGGTTCCACATTTTATGTCTAGAGTTTGGGTAATCCAACAATCAGGAGAATGAAGTCGATTTTTTTCTTTCTGTAACTTCATTTTGATTGCCGAAGTCCGTCCTCAGGAATCCACCTGCTTTTCCCTTGGTACCATTTATGCTTATTGCCTGGAAAGGGGTGTCAAATATCCACAGTTTGTCTGAAAAGGGGTAGACAATTTGAGTTTATTTCTGCCTGATAAGGGGTAGGGTTTTCAAACAACCAGCTACACAAAGAAGTTTGCTTTTTGGATTTTTGCATTTCCATGATGTGTCCGTGGAAGCAAAAGATGTATAATAATAAGGTTATTACG